TGGAAAAATAAAGAGCAGCACATTCAAGAGTTGGGGAAATAATTTCAGGAAATCCTGGAAGGTTTTTGGAAAATAAACAGGATAAATAATCAGGAGCAGCTCCGTGGGATTGGGTTTTTTGAAGTTTTTCGAGCGGAATCGGGATTTTCGCTGCTCCTTCCATCGGATCTCCATCCATGGGACTGAATTATTCAAATCCCCGGAGGAAATTTATTAATTGAGGGAGGAAATTGGGAAAAAGCTGCAGAGAGGAGCACGATCACCGCATCAATTACGGCATCAAAGGAGAGGATGGGAAKCAGAGCTCCTCTGGAATTCCTGATCCGCTTGGTGGGCACAAATTAATTAAATTAATTGGTAAATTCTGATCCCTGAAGCAAAAAAAAAACCACAAAAAAACAACAAAACAAAAAAAAGCAAGATGTTATTCCAAGATTTGTTGTTCCAAGATTTGTTTTTCCAAGATTTGTTATTCCAAGATTTGTTGTTCCAAGATTTGTTGTTCCAAGATTAAGATTCGCTTCCGGGATCAGCTCTCACCCCTGGCTCTGTGGAATTTTGGGAGAATGTTTTGTTTTCCAACAAAATTGGATTTATTTGGGTAACCAAACCTTGACCAGGCCCGGTTTCCAGAAAATATCGGAGGAAATTGTGGAAAATTCCTTCAAATGTTGGAAAAATCAAGGAAATAGCAGAGGAAATTATGGAAGATTCCTTCAAATGTTGGTAAAATCCAGGAAATATCAGAAATATTGGAGATATCGGAGGAAATTGTGGGAAGCTCCTTCAAATGTTGGGAAAATCAAGGAAATAGCGGAAGAAATTGTGGAAAACTCGTTCAAATGTTGGGAAAATCCAGGAAATAGCGGAGGAAATCGTGGAAATTTCCTTCAAATGTTGGGAAAATCCAGGAAATATTGGAGGAAATAGTGGAAAATTGCTCCAAATGTTGGTAAAATTCAGGAAATAATGGAAATATCGGAGGAAATGGTGGAAATTTTCTCCAAATGTTGGTAAAATCCAACAAATCGGAGGAAGTAGTGGAAAATTCCTTCAAATGTTGGGAAAATCCGGGAAATGTTGGAGGAAATGGTGGAAAATTCCTTCAAATGTTGGGAAAATCAAGGAACTAGCGGAGGAAATTGTGGAAAAATCCTTCAAATGTTGGGAAAATCCAGAAAATATCCCAGGAAATAGTGGAAATATCAGAGAAAATCGTGGAAAATTCCTTCAAATGTTGGGAAGATCCAGGAAATATCAGAGGAAATCGTGGAAAAGTCCTTGAAATGTTGGGAAAATCCAGGAAATAGCAACAATATTGGAGGAAATAATGGAAAATTCCTTCAAATGTTGGGAAAATCCAGGAAATAGAGGATGAAATAGTGGAAAATTCCTTGAAATGTTGGAAAATCCAGGCATTTTTAGGAGCGGGAGGAAAGCGCTGCCCACATTCCCATGAGGGGATTGGGGCTGATCCCAAAACCTCTCTCTTGTGCCCGTGTTTGCTGAAATCCCGTTATTATGGGTAATTAAAATCTCCTAATTAAACGAAGCTCCATCTGGCAGAGCCCAGCGAGCCAAGGAGGGCATTAATTAAAAATCCCAATGTTT